CCAGCGGAAACTAAACCCCGTCAAATGACCCCAGCCTCTTACTCCTCACTCGTTTATTCTGCCCTTCCATTCACTCCTCTCTTCCTGTCTCTCACATTCAGCAGTGTGGGCAGCAGGTCCGTTCCCTCAGCCCCCCTGGGGAGAAGCAAATCCCTGAGGAGGAGTGTAACAAGTCTCTCTCTCTCTCTCTTTCTGAGTGTGCAGTATCTGGGAGATGGGCTGTCCTCCAGTCTTTGTCAAACAAACCCGTACACACACACACACACACACACACACATACACACACATATACAAAGAGAAACGGGGCAGTTCCTATCAGGCTCTGTGAGACAGATTCTTCCTTAAATGAGACAGAACAAAAAATATGTTACTGATACATATCCCTTTTACAAACTATTCTAGACGTTTCTGAAGCTGGTTGCAATTTCAGAAAACTTTAGGAAGACGTGTTGTTCTGTCTTGTAAAATGTCTCTTGAGCAATTTAACCAGCCAATATGTGACCATATATTCTGTTGACAGAAAAGAAGCAAAAAAGAAAACACAAGCATATTTTTCATACCCGCTGCTATAAAATACTGTTAATGTGATGCATCTTGCATGCATCTGACTCATTTAAAGTCAGAGAGAATCAACATGGGACCCAACATGTAGCTGTGTTAATGTTACAAAGGTCAAAGTGTAAAGAGAACTGGTTCTTTACTTGCAGTCAGACATTTAGGGTTGCCATATGAGGCAAAATGGCTTTTCAAACACACAAAAATCCTATGTGTGTGTGTCTGTGTGTATTATTCATCCATGGGTGATGTACTGTGTGAGCAACTAGTCCACAGCAGAAGCTATCACATTTGCACACCGCAATTGCATGTGCTCTTGTCCAGGTGGCTTATCATTGCGCCGCACCGCCAGAATAAAGGGTTAATATCCCCGAGCCAGCCGTTAAGTTAAAAAAGAATAATTTAAGACATCTACTTATTTGCTTATTTCCCTCATGCCTGTAGGCTTTAAGACAAGCTCAATTCAGACTCAGGCACATGACTGTTGAATCGGCTTTGTTTGGGTGCGCTCCTAGCTTTGTCTCGAGTACACACTGATTTAAAAAAAAAAAAAACATAATAGAAGCCCAGTTTTTAATTGCAGGCATGCAGAACTACTCATGTTATTTCAGACAAATGCCAAAAGGAATTTGGTGTTTTTTCTGCTTCCACTCAAGTGACATTTAAGAGAGGGCTGTCTGCAGAGATGCAGGATAAATGCAGGCTGGTTATGACTTTGATGTTTCACATTTGTCAAACACTGAAAACCATTCAGCAGCACTTGCTTGCTTGCATGGGGGTTATTGTGTTGCTAGTGTCTGCCTTGTGTCTACCTTTTCCAATACGGTTGGCTACTTAGCACCACAAAAAAGAATGACCAGTAGATTTACTCTGCGGCCAGACACACACACACACACACACAAACGTAATCTTGCCAGAGCAGAGTCTATCAGTCAATGACATGACCCAGATGAAAAGCCAAGGTCTCTGGGCTCCCTTGAAAGACAAGGCTACTATTACAGCAGACAAAAGAGTGCTGAAAGTGAAGGAAAACCAGGCGCTGATTTATCAGCACTGATAGAAAAGTCCCCACCTTCATTTCTGGTCTGACCTCATATCGAGGGGTTACCAGTGCAGAAGTCCCAAACAGCTGCAGTGCGTGTGGGTTGCACTGCTGCTCATGACTGCCTGTTGCAAACAGATGTAGTTCAAAATGGTTCACTTTTAAACCTTTACATACAAATGATTCATTTTCCAGCCAGAAATAAAAGGTGAACCTAATGTGAGGGAACATAGAGATCCATGCACTATTTAACCATTTTAAACGGGAGAGTGAATTTGGGCTGCAATCTGTTTGTCTTTTTCTCAAATCTGTTTGTGTACAAATCATAAAAACTGAAAAAAACTATGGATACTGACAATAATTTGACCATAAAATATGTTTGATTCAGTTCATCTTTATTACATATTGGGCAATAACGCAGCCCCTCAGGTCATCTTCTACCTGAAACAAGCTTCTTAACCCTTCCCATTTAACCCTCTGAACTGTAAATCATCATAGGTATTGATGCTAGCCCTACCCATACTCTAACCTCATATTCTGAGGTTTTCTTTGTTCCCTGATTTCCAGCTCAACAAAAAATCTGCTTGCCTGGAATTAGAGGTAGGGCTAGCGTTAGGGTTTTCTTTGATGATTATACTTTCTATATTTGCAAGTCCATTAGAGGGTCTGAGTTATGTAAATGTCATCGGGCGATGAGGGTCCGTGCGGACCACATGCTTCCTTGGTTTTTGTGACCACATAGACTTGTCTGCGGAGAATTTCCGTTACAATGGACAAACTACACATGCTCCCCGGGTGGTGGACTTCAAAGAAATATAACAGAAATGACTACTCTGCAATCAGGTCTCCAGCTGTCTGCAGTGGAGGAAAATCAAGGCTTTAGACTTCTGAAGGTTAAAGGTCCTGATCCTATGCTTTACAGGCCCAACTATCAACGTGGGAACATAAATCCCCCATGAGGCCACCCCACCCCTTTGAATCCAGGTTTCTTCTGATTGGCTGTCCCTCACTAAAAGAACATTTGAACTCCAGGTGGGTGAGGCTGTTGCGCTCACAACCAGATCTGTGTGGCTGATGTGAGCATCTTACATATATATGCACATATATATGTGTGTGTGTGTAATTGCTTAGAATCAGAAAACTTTAATAATCCCTAAGGAAATTATGGCAAAATTATGGAAAGCATTTTCAGTGCTCAGAGTGAGTAGGAAAGTGCTATACTAGCCCATTTATATAGAATATGACTGAAAATTAGGAAACGCACAATAAAAATACCCTTAAAAAAATTAGCTGCCACCTAATTAACTAACAGATTAACATTTTTAGGTCTCTGCTCTATGTAAACGTATGCAAATGTAAATTTTACAAAAGACAAAAATCCTGTTTATTGTATAACAGAGACTACAACATAGCAACACGGCACTCCACTGTATATGTTATAGTGGCGAATCACTGTTCAGTGAGCTCATTATTGTATGTTTCAAGAGGGACCGCTCTGTGAAATTGGCTGCACACATGGCCAGACACATTAATGATTGCTTTAGAAATGAGAGGAAGCATCATTTTAACACAAGGTACAGACTCAAATCTCCAAGCCTATTCATTTCATACAAACGGGAGCGTGTAAACCTTCATCACACTAAGCCGATTACAGGCTGGAGGAAGAAAGGGCATGCTAACACGTGCTTCTGCTCTGAGCAGACAACAAATCTAACGTGATGTAAACAGCAGATGGAGTCGTCATAAATTATGGACAGGAGGGAAAACATAACTTATACAGACTGATCCCGATAAGCTTTTATTACAGTTAGAATCCGGCAGGATGTGGACTGTGGATGTGACTAACTTCCACACTCAGCATGTACACACCTAACGAACTGAATTTCTTTGGAGTCTTGTGGTTCCTGCATCCTTCTAAATTATATTTGTCTCCTTTGACTGACCTCCTCCTCTCCTCTTTCTTTACACTCTTCTCCTGCCTTCTGTGCTTCTTACAGTCCTCTCACATGTTGGGGTTCTTAAGACTTTTCTGGGGTTCACACCCGTCTGCGATATTGACTGGCCTTAAACAAACCACATAGACACTCACAAGCCTGTCGGCCAGTCTAAACAGAAAAAAGGATCTCCAAGCAAACACCACAGAATGAGTAATAAACAGTCAAACTATTACAGAGGTCATTTGCAGTATGGATTAGAGCAGCGGTCCCCAACCCCCGGGCCTCGGACCGGTACCGGTCCGTGAGTCGTTTGGTACCGGGCCGCGAGAGTTGAGGCTCAGGTGTAAAATGTATGGTTTTCAGGGTTTTTATCGGTTTTTAGCGTTATTTTGTTATCGTTTTTATCGTTAACTCGATTTTCCTGGGTCTTTGGGTCACGTGTGTTATGAATAAATCTTCTTTTTTTCGGTACCAGTACTAGTTTTATTTTGTTGTATTTATCCGCGACACCTTAAAGGCCGGTCTGTGAAAATATTGTCGGGCATAAACTGGTCCGTGGCGCAAAAAAGGTTGGGGACCGCTGGTTTAGAGACCCCGATTTAGAGATTATACCTGTAGCTCTGTGGCTGTTTAGTTGTGACCCATTTTTATACGCATATCTTCTTAGATATGTCTTAATATACACTTTAAACTGCTGCTCAGAGATGGTATTATTTTAATCTGTTACACAAAAGGTTAAGTATTATGACAAACTTCACCTTCATGACAATAAAATGTGTTGTATTGATCGAGTGAAACCTTGGAAAGCCATGTGAGGTCAATCTAGCTAGACCAGTTGGCCGCAGGCAGTGCTTCTGTGTTTGAAGCATGACGGCTCACTAACAGTCCTGAAATCTACGGTCTCAGAGCAACAGCATGATGGAGGGCGAGGCTGTTCTCTGTCTTATTTTATGTTACTCTCACACAGTAATTGGCTTTCATGCTCACACGCCACAAGCTAGAAATACAACACTGGAACTGCCAGCACTGAGGTCAAGAGACGCAAGACAAGGAGGCAGACACTGTGGACAACAGCGCTCTCTTGTGTTAGCAAACAGAGTAGGAACTAAAGAATAAATAGAGTCCAGGCACAATGCATACGAGTAGGTATGTGAGGCGATATGAGATGGTGAACAGCAAATTTAATGCTAACTATAACAGCTAGGAGAGAGTAAAATTATTTTGCAGGTTCTTTTTTTAATACAAAAGGAAGCTCAGTGAAATTAATGTCATGCAAACTAGCAACTGATGGGAATTCCTTGCTGCTTCCTGTATCTAATCTGTGGTCACGTGACTTCAGATATTTGCATCGCTCACCATAAAACAGGATATTACATTTTTGGCTCAGACGGTCAGCACAGAGATAAACGCACAATGGGAAACCTGCAGGTTTTTGTGATAAGGGTGCAGAGAATAAGGGATCTCACCTGGTACGATCTCAAACAGGTGCCTTCCTGGTTCGTCTGGATTAGCTGTGAGTTCATTGACCAGGCATCCCTGCAGTGGTATACAGCCCTGAAACGTACAGGAAGAAGCTTTCAAATAGTTTCCCACCACAGAAGCATCGATTTCCTTTGTCTTTTCTCCACTTTCACTAGTTTCTCGACTTTTTACTTATATTTTACTGTAACTTTCCAGAAAACTGGCTAAAGAAAGAAAGAAAGAAAGACAAATATGAGGAGCTGGGCACACTGAGATAAACACTTGTGGTTTGGAGTGACCGTGACCTACAACATGACCTGTGATGGATGTAAATTTCCTGGCTTCTGTGACGAAACACTCGGTCAGTTGGTAGTTTATGAAAATCTTATTTTAACAGGTAACCTTATCTATGGCCAATGTTTAGGATGCAAATGAGTCCAAGCCTGTGATAAAATTTGTTTTTGTGCCCCACTTGACTCCCTGCAGTGGCGACACCCTCTCTCGAGCTCTGCATTGATTATTGGTGTTCTCTGTTTTCAGTCACCTCTGCCAACGTGTTATCACAGCTTCCAAATAGTTTGCTTGTGGTCTCTATTCCTAACTAAACTCTCAGTTATTCTGGCAGGATATGGTGGAAACTCCAGGCTAATTTTAAGATCATTTGACAGACAGGTTCAGCTAGTACCTGTGTAACCCTCTGAGGTCTAAACCCAAACCTGTGTCATGTTTTCAAGGGTTATGGTTTAACTCTGTTAGGTCTAAGTCATCATTGATGATCTTTTTAAGTTGAAATTTGGCACGCCATTTGGAATGATATTAAGACTGAGGGTACTCCCATTAGGCAATCCAAAGTGTGGCCAAGCATGCTGGACCAACAGTGCCCTATTCTTTTGGGATTGCTGCAAATTGTGCTTGGGCAAGTGTGCCATGCCCTGACCTGCTCAAAGAGGCGTCCCTGGCTGATTGATCTGGAGTGATTGACCATGTCTAAGAAAGGATCTCCAGTTCTTTGTCAATAACCGACTCTGCAAACTTGAGGACTGGGTGTGACTGATTCCAAAAGCAGCCCCAAATGAGCCACAAAATAGCGCACAGATTTACTCGGATTCTGCAAGATTGCCTGTTTTTGCCACTACATCATAATGAAATGTGTGCATGAGAGGCTTGAGTCTGACTTAGTTGCCTACTCTCACCCCCCCTCCCCCCCACCTCCTGTTTCCTCCCTCCTTATTACTCACCTCTTAGCCCCTCTAAAATTTTAAGCAGCTACTCCTGTGATTGAACAGGGACCCACACAGATTATCAGAATACATTATCCAGATCAATACCCATTTAGCCCCGAGAACTTAAGGCCAAGTGAGCTGTGAAGAGATGCCAGCGTCTGTAGGTCGGCCCCGTTAATCTCCACACTGGCATCCTCCATCAAACAGGCAGAAGAGTCTGCCAAACAGCCTCAGCCTGAGGGCCGGGCTGTCGCCAGCATTAGTCGCCATGGCAACAAATGGAAAGGGGTGGAAGCTGTGGATGGATAGAGCACAGGGGCAGGGCAGGATGGGTGTCCCAAGGGTGCTATGTGCTCAGAATAACACAAGTAGCTGGCTGGGGATGAATGACTAAGAAAAGGCAACACGTAACCCGAGAACACAAATCACGCAGAAAAGTAGGCTAGATAGCACTGTTTGTCCTTCCCTGCATTTTAACCAATGATACGGGAACTGTGCGCACATGTAAGAGCTTCAAAGCAGCTGCAAACAGATGCGGCCACGCCTACTTTAACCTCGTTTGTACACGAATGCCAGTCAGTTATTATTCTAGCCTGGCCTCTCGAGGTTTGTTCACACTTTTATCTCACGTTGGCAACAGTGCAACATGAACAGCTAGCGCATTGTTACTCATGGACATTACGCAGTGCTGTTGATCGTTACCGTGTGCCTAGATCTGGACCTGAAGCACCCCAGACTCGTCCTGTTTGGCGCGTGCCATGCCCAGGTCTATAAACGCACGCCTCTTAAAAGTAATCGGTGCCAGAAGTGGACGTAAAGCAAGAAACGAAGGAGCAGTAAAGAATTACTGGAACAGAAAGCCATGTACAATGCTGATGCTGCCAAGGTTTCGGAGCACCATAATGTCAGGCTGAAAAAATCTAAAATCATATGAAAGCAGTAAGTGATGGGGTTGGGCATAAATCAAATCAAAACAAAAACAAATATAAACTTTAAGTTTAAGCTGTTTTTAAGCTTTTTTTGTTTATTTTGTCAAAGGTTTTGTGTATTACAACCAGAGTCATGGTTGTGTGATGGTGGCGCCCTTTGTGTACCGCCAGATAAGTGGACTCTGTTTGTTCAGCAGTGTATTCCACCCCCCCAGACCAACACACATGATGAAAAGGAAAAGAAAACCCCCATAGATCCTCATCCAGCGCTGCCTTTCCTGCTACCAATTATCACATCCTTTCATCTTGGTAGTGGGGCAGTCATGTTCTGTTCGCAACACCCTCCCCACCCACGCCTCCACCCCCGACCACACTCCCGGCCTCGGGTTTCCTATCGATTAAGAGATGAGAGGGTTAAAAAAAAAGGCCAGAATCACAGTTTCTCACACAACTCAGAGGGTGTGCATGCATGAGTGGGTTTGTGATGGTGTGTGTGTGTGCGCGTGTGCAGTCAGCCACACACTACATGTGACTTGAATCCCTTGGAAGTTGCGAATCAATATGAGCTGGATGAGTATTGGCAAGCTCTGATTAAAGACTGTCATTTTTTCTCCTCAAAATTGGAGACAGAGAAGTGGGGAACACGTCATTGTGTGTGTGTGTGTGTGTGTGTGTGTGTGTGTGTGTGTGTGTGTGTGTGTGCGCGCGCGCGCATCAGTCAATCATGAACCTTCTGTCTTTTATTGTTGGATTACATCACTCCTTGTTGCATCTACAACTAAACCTATTAGCTTCACTGAATCTCCACCTAAAAGTCTTCGATATAAGTGTGTGTGTGTTTGTGTTTTGTAGGAATGCAGAGTGGGAAAATGTGAGTCAGCTGTTTGCCACAGTTCAACAAAGAAGCAATGGGATTGATTGGAGGTTTACTCTGTAGACAATTTTACAATGATGTACTAATGCAGTAGGAAGACAGGCGTCACACGCTGCCCTGCTGTTTGTACTAATGCACTGAAACGTCTGCTGAGTGTGGTGAGTTATCATTACAGCTGAGTGTTTTCATCTGACAGCAATAAAGCACACGCAGTGTTACTGTTGGCAGCGGTCACTCATTGTACATAATTAGCTCCAAGCCTTGATGTTTTTAACTATGAGAAGCATGAGGAGGCAGAATTGGAATTTGTTACTTACTTGCATGTAAATGTAAAAAAATGAGGTGTTTAGCAAATATAAATAATAATATTGGATAAATATAAGCTTTAAGAATGTGCCTTATTGCACTCTGCACTTTTATTAGTCATTGTTCAAGTTTTTAGGGATAAATAGGGATAAATGTTTTTTCTGCGTATCTTCAGTGTGTCTTTGATTTATTACTGTTAGTTTATTGCTTTATATTTATTGCTTTATTCAAATGTAATCATTTGTAGTGGCAGTATCTGCCTAGTGCAGCTGCACAAGGTGCTCAAGAAGAAGTGATATTGATATATGTTGTTATATGTTGCATTTTTCCCACCCCTAAAGAAATGTTAAAAATCTGAAAATGAAATACTGAGCCACATATAATGTTACCCACATATATGTGGGTAACAGACATCTCCAAAAACGTTGGAGCACTTATATATGTGATGTCTTCATAAATCGAGCAGTTATTTGAAATTTACACAGCTACATTCTTGCCTGAAAATATCTTAAAAGTTTATTTTGTGACCCAGAAAGAGTAACATTAAAACTAAGTAGCCTGTTTACTTCATAAACCTCTCTATTGCCCCCAAGTAGCCAATAAATGGAATGAATGCATGTTTAAGGTGGGTTTAAGTCCAGTGCTCAACTGTAGAGTGACTTAAAACAAGCAGATTTCTCACAGATGGGAATTAGGATAATTTTTTCTTGAGGTAATGGCTCAACGTGCTGTTTGGCAAAACTGCAATCAGTTCCAATGATACAGAAAAAATGTTTGGGAACAAAGTCGTTTACAGAGATGACGTCAGAGGAAAACAGGGCTTGCTCGAGAGTACTTAGGGATCAACAAGAGTTTCTTTAATTAATGGGCAATTTGCTCTGCCGCGTGAGCTGCTCATGCTTTGATTTGAAAGACCTAAATTAGTTTTTTCCCCTTCCCTCACTCAGACACTCAGACTGAACAAAAGCTTCAGATCAAATCATTTACATGAAGGTTTCTCATGTATTCAGCTGCACATTAAACTCCATATGTTTGAGCTGCATGACTCAGCTGTCCCGTCCTCCAAAAGGAAGCTGCACCTCATTATGTAAATATAATCACGCCGGCCAAAGAGCAGTGCTCCAGCTTCTAATTTCGCCACCCTCTGACTGTTTTCCGTTGTGTGTGAACGTGGCTGAAATATTACCTGCGGTTTGGTTTCTTCCTCGTCTTTGTAGAAGTAGAGCTGATCCGAGCGCAGCACGAACCAGCGCAGCTGCCAGTTCTTCATGATGCTGCGCTGCTTCTTCAGCCACCCCGCCTTCAGAGCCCCCTCGTGGAGGCTCGGGGAGGCTGGGCGGCACGATCCTCGCGACACCTCGCTCATCACCATGCTCTTTGACCTGGCTGATGACACATACACAACACACAGCATATTTTTTAGGCTTATACACAAGCAGCTGAAAGCAAAGGATATTGTTTGTTTTGATTTATTTACCATTTGTCTTATTGTTTGCGTTCTAGTAGGTGCATGCTGTCCCTCTTTTTTTATCCTGAATGCACATAGTGCTCTACCAGGGGCTTTAGTCATGACAGCCTTTTAACCCAGGCTGCTCCACATAAAAGGGAATGGGACTGCAGAGAGGCAGCAGACACAAAAACTAAGGGGAAAAACACACACACACACACACACACAGACACACACCATGCATAGCCTCGGGTGACAGGGATACCCCCCCTTCAATTTCAGAGGTCCTTGGAATAGACGTATTGTGCAGAGGTACAACCCAGCAGAATAGCTGAGGCTTTTGAGCTCAGATAATAGGACCACATGGGACTGACTGGCTGACTGAATGCTCCTCAATAAATGTGTGTAACCTGAGCTCAAGTCAAAGATGGGTTTTAACAGGGAGTGTGTGGCAGCTTTATAGCTACCGAGGTACTCAGATTTTCCTGGTATGACATCAGCGGTTAAATAATGTCATTTTTGTAGTTATTGCACTGACATTTAAATAAAACTTCTGTAGACATAAAGGAGCGTGACTCTACACTGAGGTGTGTTTTCATCAGACGCTAAAGGCTACATTATTTTTACACACTTACAAAAAGGTTTGGCACAGATAAATAAACCTGGGGCAAACTAGTGAAAGGCTATTTGATGATCATGTATTATTTAGAGCAATCAATTCTGCTGACATCCTCCCTGCTTGTGTGTGTTCTTTGCCCACACATACCTCAGACACACACACACACACACACGTATACATGGAATCGATGGCACTGAGGTGGAAGGGGAAGAAAATCAATTTTTATTCTTTTTTATTGTCCCACATCTTTACCTTCAGCCTATACATTGAGCTTAACGAACATGGCTCATATCATTTTTATTGCACATCACAGCCTGTTTTGACACCCTGAAAAGCCTGTTGATTCTGACAGACGTGGTGTGGCCCACTATTTTTTTATGCAAACTGGGTCCAGGCTTGCTGTGGAAACCTCTTTAATATATATCAGTAATATATATTCAGTAATATCTTACCTTAAAGTGGTATCTTTTTTCCACTCTGTGTCTAATGCTGTCCTGTCTGCATTCTTTAATAAGAAGGTTTTAGAGAGCACACAAATGCTGCCTAAACTGCAAGAATAATTTGCTAGTGCAGCTGTGACTTTAACTTGGTTGGATTCAGTTTGAAATTTGCTGAATATGGGTTGAAATTTGCTTCAGTGTGTGGCTTTCATTATGATTGTGCAATTTAGCCTTTTTGCTAGTGACCAAGCATTATTCATGTTCCCTGGTTTCAACAAAGAGTGGTGTCATATTACCCTTTTTGTTTAATCCAGCTTTTCATTGTTAGCTTGCTCCTTTATTCTGAATGTTTGTGCAGATAGTTGGAAAACACTGGCGGCAGATACAGAGCACTGCATCGTGGTGCTAGTGTTTGGGCTGCTGCTCGGGGCATGTTTAAAGGTGTAATATGTAAGATAATAATATACAGTCTATTAACAGCAACCCACAAGGGAGAGCAGCTTATTACTAGAATGCTTTTGTAGTGGTATACTCCACTATTGTAGAGTAAAGTAAGGTAAGCCTTCTGGTCAGGTGACTGTAATCACCTATGACTTCAGTTTTTTCCAAAACACTAAAGATTGGCACGAATTCACATGTTGCTCTAGATGGTTTTCTTTCAAAAGACTCTTGAAGTCATGAAGAGTGCCTCTAATTGGGATTTATTTATATGGTCACATTGACACATGACTCATGAGGAAAGATAACCAGTTTAGGGATGGGGAGTGAATCTGAGGGCTCAGTAGAGCCAGAGCCACTGACTAAGTAACATTTTCCCATTTTCCATTTTAATATGAAGTGACGTTTTCCTTTATTTCATGATTTCATACATGGAACACTCTTTTTCCACATCTCTGTTTAGACAGTTGCTCTTGCAAAAGAAGGAATCAGATGCATTCAGTCTGTCAGTACCGACCCACAACTTACTGAGCAGGATAGAGGCAGCGTTGCTAGTTAAACATAAAAATAAATACCTTTTTTGCAAAGAGCCGTCTCCTTTGGCTGCCATTAATAACACAAGCTCATCATATGCAGTGTGGGCAGTGCTACCCATGGACTCATTATCACCTCTTAAGATACGAAGACAGATTACAAGGGTCTGGTTGGGACTAGCTGCTTGTTATGGGTCAATATTTCTGCAACGTTATGCAAGACAACTTTGACTCTTTATTTCTCCACATTCTGCTGTTGAGTTCATTTTGAATCATTTTAAAGTAATTATAACATATTTTAAAAAGCTTTAGTACCAGCAGACTCACCTCTCTTTATGTTTTACCTCTCTCCTCTAGATTGGCTTTCTTTCTTTTTCACTGCTAACAGTTCCCGTCTCCCCTGGCTCTTTATTTTCACTCCTCTGCCCGACACCCTCCATTTCTCGTACTTTGACTCGCTCTAATTCTTCTCGTCTTTTGAATCAAAGCTCTGTTGCTCTGAGAGCACCCAGCGCACATGCATTTAAAGGACAGTTTGTTAGTTTTGTTATCAAACTGGCACGGTAACTAATTTTTGAATTACAGCTAAACTTTAATTGGCTGCATATAATCTTTTACATGTAAAATAATTTTCATTTTTCATGAGAAGTCAATTTGAAGCACTGCAAAGCATAGGGTTATCTGTTATTGTTTTGAACAAGAGACTCTTCTGCAGCTGGCTTTTTCTCTAACCAGTTAATATTTAGCAGAAGAAGCATAACTTGAATCTCTCTTATATCATTTTACTTTGTAGATCTCTAGTTTTCTTTTGAATCCTAAGCTATGCTTTCCTTAGCTGTCACTATTCTTTGATGTTTTGGTTGTCCAGTGTTGCCTTGACTACACAAATGTGATAGCACAACCCCTGCACAGATCAGCTGGATATTTCGACATGGTGAAGTGTCTCATGTGTGCAGCATCAGCGGTGTAAACAGATCAGTCTTACCCTGATTGGGATCATCGCTACAACTAACAAATTGCAGTTGTATTGCAGTTGTATTGCAGTTGTGTAACTCACCTTCCCTGTCCTTTTTAACACCTCTCCTTTTTCGCAACACATCCCGTCCCTCTTGCCTTTCCATCGCTCCTCAACCTGCCACTGCTCCCATAAAAGAGGACCACTGTTCAACACATAAGCTGCCTGGATCTTGGACTCAATGGAACATTCGCAGGGCGATGATTCACGCCTGACTCACAACTGATTTTTGATTTGTGTGTGTGTGCATGTGTGTGTGTGTGCGTATCAAACACAACTACCCACTGTGCCAATTTGGACCTTCTATTCAGAGTGATTCAGACGTTCCTTGGTTTGGGTGGAGCTGGTCTGTGGTCACTTCTACAACTATCAACTACAATGAAGGAAAAAAGGCCATTTTGCTGTAAAAGTGCACTTTATACACAATCACTGCAATTCAGTGTGGTTATGGAAGCGCTGAGTCAAATTGCAAGGGCTCATCATCATGGATGACTTTGTGCAGTACAGTATACCCATTATTGTCCATCATGACTTCTCTGATGATAACTTATGTAACTGAGAGAATGCATCATGTTATTTCACTGTCACGGAATAATTGTATGTATATCAAGGAATACCTGATGGATTGGCTACATATCCAGTTACGATATCATGAAAATTGAAGCTGGTTAAAAGGAAATTGTTAAAAAAAAAAAAAGGCCATATACTGTAGATCACTTTAAAAAACATATTTTTTGTGCTATTTACCAATAATTATATTTATCTGTCCAGTACACTACACCCCTGAGTTACAATCAAGAGTCTAAAATGTAGAAAGCTGTTGTAGCTTATTAGCTATATGCTTTGTGCTTTTCAAGACCAATTAGTTGTTTGTTGACGTTTGGTCAAAAATGTGCCTTTTGACCAAACTTACCGTTCAAACCCCCAGAAACAAGCTGACTAAATGATAGCTAAGTCAGCTAGCTTAAAAATTAAAGCACGGAAAGCTAATGTGACTGACTACTTCTAGCATGTTCTTAGATTACAGTTGTGTTAGCTTTTAGCTCAGCAGCTACATTCGTTTACCAACTAGCCCAGTGAGTAGCTCCTAGGTCAACAAGCCTCTAGCACTAGCAACTAACATTAGCGACTTCAAGTCAAACAAGTACAGGGATGTAAATACATTAGAAGTTTTTTTTTAAGCCAGGATTGTCCACTAGCAGCCATCAGCTACAAACTGATGTGGAACCTTTCCTTTGGTTCATGTCAAATAAAACGAGGTTACTATGATTACTATTAGATATTAGCAGTGTTGGAACTAACGCGTTATTAAGTAACGCGTTACAGTAACTACGTTATTATTGTGGTAACGAGCACAGTAACTAGTTATTATGCCAAAACCGGGAACGCGTTACTCGTTACTGGGATTTAGATAGGCTCGTTATTCGTTACTTCGTGTGGTGGCTATCGCAGAGCTTTCACAGATTCAATAACATTAGCAAGTGGTGGAAGCCAGCAGGTGGATGAAGGAAAAGGGAGGCAAGAGGAGAGACCCGAAGCGGCCGCTGGTCCATGAGTGTCAGGTGAACTGAACTTCAGGTAAGAAGTTATAACCTGCAGTCCATCTGGGTCAGATATGAACCAAGTTTAGGAGGAGTTTATTTTCGTTGTGCTGACTTTTTCGTACTGCGTGCTAGCTAGCATGACGGAGTTTCTATACAGCTG